GATAAAAAGGGACAAGCTATTCATAATAGGGATGAGCGACTTGATTGTTGAGCGTAATACTTCAGCCAACCATTCAGCTGGCCTGCCGCTAGCCAGGTCACTTCATCTGTAACTGAAGCTTCGTGGACAGTGTCTTGCGATTTTTCAGCAGAAGCAGAAGTTCGGCTTTGCATTCAAGCTCTGAAACGAGGAAAGGCTGCACGACCAGATGAGCTCTCTCACTCTCCAAGATGGAGTGTGTGTGATAACCTCGTAATCTCCATTACTACCGTACTACACACTATTTGAACTTGAGAACACATTCCTTCAACTTGGGGCGAATCACTGATCGTTCCAATTTTCAAGAAAGGGTCTCACGGAGAATGCGATAACCACCGCTGGATAAGTTTGATCCCAATCGGTCATACTTCGACATCTGACTCTTTTAAGAGAGAACAACATCCGTGAACAGCAAGTCGGATTCCGGCCTGGCCGCGGATGTATTGGTCAAATTTTTACATTGCAGCAGGTCCCTAAGCTGCGTCACACCCACCGTCGATCAACGGTCGCTGTGTTCCTTGATCTAGCAGGAGTCTTTGACTCGATTGACCGCAGAGCCCTGATGGTTTCATTTCTTCGAAAAGGAATGTCCCAAAAGTACGTTAACTTACTGAGGTCACTGTACTCACTTCTTGTCAAGTGAGGGTTTACAACTAACTAAGTAGGCCGTTCGTCACCAGCAGCGGGGTTCGTCAAGGATGCCCTCTCACCGTTCCTGTTCAATTTCGTCGTAGACAAAATACCTGAGAACGCACTAAGTGCCCTCCAAAATCTAGATATTTAATGGGCATCTTTTTTTATTACACACTTTCTTGTGATGAACAGCAGACCGGGTAAACCCCACAGTCGCGAGGATTTGCTGTTCAGTGATAGAAACCGGTAACCTAAGCCCCGGGACTTGGAGTGGCGAACCACATAAGGCCCCGATAGGTTGTGCGTGGTATTGAACCGGACGATAGCAAAGCTGCCTACCACCATCTGGAGAAAAACTGTGGTTTAGAGTACGCCGATGGCATCGATTGTCTGTTCGAATGTATGGAGGATGCACAAAGAGCATTTGACAGATTTGCAAGTTCTGTCGCTCCGTTCGGCATGTGCTTTTCATTTCCAAGGCTAGAGCAGCATACGCAGGACTGAAATACCTTTGGCGTAGATGCGACGTTTCACTGAAGTTGAAAGATCGTGTATATTGTGCTAGCGTTCGTTCAGTCCTGCTTTATGGTTGTGAGACCTTGAATATATATATATATATATATATATATATATATATATATAATCTTGATTTTGTCTGTGTT